AAAAAGAATTTCCAGAGTTATGGACATTCCCTCTTTCCACCAGGAAACTGGTGACTTTGTGGCCTTGCTGGCTAGAGAAGGATATAAATGTAGTCTAGAACAATATCTTTCTTAAGCTCGTTCTTAGAAAGCATTCGGGACATTTAAGACCCATTCATTTAAATAAGGATAAATAAAGCTATAGGGTCCTGGGACCAGTTTGCCATTGAACCCTGATGAAAAGAGTGGGGGGGAGGGGTAGAAGCTTGAAATCCACTTCAGTTTTTTTGTTAAAATGCTATTTTAAAGATGGCCATAATAACCGGGCAGTACTGGAATCTGAGCAGTAACTTCATGTTACATGTAAAATGTGTTACTGGATCAGAACAGCTTCTCTCCCTTGGAAAAACCCCCAAAGGAATAGTCTCTTTAGCAGGACTTAATGTACAGCAGGGAGCTGCTAAAACAGATGAGGTGCTTAACTGTTGCCCCACATACTGGGACTCTGTTCCATTAACAATACTAACTATGCACCATCAAGTCAATTCTTTTTTATTATTATTATTATTATTAATTAAAGAAAAACAATAAGAACAATACTAACACAAAGTGTGTATACATGCATACTGTGCACTAGTACGAAATCCCACCCTGGTGCCACCATCACCCTCGGGACCAGATAAGAAAATATTTCCTTTTAATCTCTTTTCACTTCCAAAATTACATTGATTCTTCTGCTGGCATTTGACCTTTCCTTTTCACAAGAACATAATTCAAATATGGATTCCATATCTCATTAAAATCATTATATTTTGTCATACCCCTTCAATTGTGACTTGTGGTAACCCTTTACTCAGTAGACTAAGCATAATGCACTCAGAGCTACACAGGCCAGCTCTTTTCCTGGGATGCTCAGTGGGGAACTGAACTCTCAGCCTAACTCACTGAGCTGTTAGCAAGCTACTCTGTTTCAAGGAACCTTCATAAACACATAATTGAAAACAAACCTCTGTGGAGGAGCTATATGGAAAGAGGCCATGGAGGAACTGTGACCCTAGTGAGGGGGGGGAGAGAGAAACCTGCACCCACCCCCACTTCCCTTTCTGGAGCAGAGAAAGATTTAAGCCTGCCATTCCCTTATACAAATTGCTTGTGCCAGAATTGCTCCACCTCTATCTTACAGGTAAATGCTTGATAAGATCAGTCTCAACAGTCAGATTAAAGTGAGAAATAAAAGAGCACTCTCCAATGCAGCACAGATGAGCAAAGAGAGGAAGAGATGGACGAAGAAGGTGCAAGGGAGCACATTTTAAAGTCCCCCTTATTTAATAGGTTTCATTGCAGATGAAACCTATTAAATAAGGGGGAACACAAGCTGCATTTGTGTTACGTAAGAAGACTAATGAAACAAAGTATTTCTTACCCAGCAACTAGCACATATTTTCCATCTGGTTGATCTTTCAACCTTTCCAGCAGAGAGAGGCGCACTTTGGCTTTGGTTTGGCCGTAGACTTCTATTTCATTTGTAAGCAATCCTACCTCCTTGGCAAGGATATCAATAGCTTTTGGACACTGTCGTCGGGAAATCTCAATATCACTGCAAAAGAAAACACATGGGATGCACAAGATCAAACGTGACGGGGAAACAGCAGCAAGCTCCTCCCCCACCCACCCCCAAAAACCCAACTGCAAACATGTAGTGGATTTTTCTCCCGTCCCCAAAACTGCACTACAGTCATATGTATGTTAACACAGACTTAAGTCTCACTGAAATGAATGACACTTATTCCCAGGAAAAAGTTAAAGCTTATTAAGACAACAGAAATAATTATTGGTATTGGCAGAGTTGTAAGTGTACAGTATTTGTTTCACATCAAGCTCCAGTTCTCAGAAAAAAACTCAGTAGATCCCATAAGCTGGAAATCTGTCCGTTCCAATCTATGATGTCACCGGCATGATTATCAAGAACAGCTGACCTTGTCTAGAAGAATACAGCATAATCTTTAAACTCTGCAAGGGATGGGCCTATTGGAGATACAATTATAAGTGTGCAGACAAAGACTTGAAGGCTCTGCTATAAAATATTTCCAGGTCCTCTTCACCTACAGCAATTATTTTCGTCCTGCCTGCCCACAGCACAAGCTATTGCGGCACTATTTCTCACATGTGGCAGATTTCATCAGGACTTTAACAGAGAGGTAACAATTGGATACAAGCTGAAACATTTCTAGCGTGTGTTTTTAGCCTGTGGGGTCTTTGTGAGGATCCAAATACCAAGACGTGCTAAATATGCAAGCTGCTCAGGAGAAGCAGAGCATGGGAAAGCACAGAATTCTTCAGCCAGGGAATTTTCAAAATGAGTTCAAAAAGCAATCTGCCTAAGTTCTGAAGAGCACATCCATATTTCACTTCTAAATCCACAAAGCTAAACAAGAGTATTTTTAGCATATTTAGTGTCAACATGCTTACTTTCCAAAACATAAATAAAAAGGGAGCAAGAGGTTCAGAACTGTGACATGCATGGGGTGGGCAGGCAGGCTTTAAGCTTTTACCAACACTGTGGTCCTGATGCTAAATACCTCTCTCTCTCTCTCTCTCTCTCATGTGACATGCATGGGGTGGGCAGGCAAGCTTTAAGCTTTTACCAACGCTGTGGTCCTGATGCTGAATACCTCTCTCTCTCTCACACACACACATGCAGAAACACACCTACTGTACATAATGGGAGGAAAGCTTTAATTGATATAACCTAGTATCTGCCTTCTTTTCATACTGTACATAATGTGAGGAAAGCTTTAACTGATATAACCTAGTATCTGCCTTCTTTTCAGTACTACAGCACAGTTAGATTAAGTATTACTGACAACATAAAGATATCTCTGCTACTGACTGATTTGATATTTCATTATATTATTTGATTTATGTTTTAATTTCTTATTGAAATGATTGCACATTTAAATTCTTATTGAAATTGTTGTACAGGTGTCCTTGTTTATTCTCTATTAACTGTCTGTGAGCTAGTTAAGGCATTTCTGTTTAGGAAGGCTTTTGGTTCACCAGCTGAACTATTTTTGGTGGACTGCTTTACTGTCTGAGATGTTTCAATCCATTACTGTACATTGATCTCTAATTTTTTTTTCAATCCTTCTGAATTCTCTGGATTTTTAAAATTTTGACGTTTTTATTTCCTTAAGACATCCACAGTATCACTATTGGAATATTAAGGCAAGAATTATAGTACCCTAAACAGTGCTGAGAAAAGAAATGTGTGCTTGTGTGTCATAACTTCAAGCCCTTGAGAGCTTGCCACCTGAAACCTGGCATGCATTTTAAGAGGACCCAGAAGATACGCAGAACAGGGTTTTGGGACTTTTAACTGATTAATTTAAGGTAAGTTAAATTTGCATACTATCTGCAATACCATCTTCAGTCATTAGATGGGAGATTTCCTATATCATCATCAAGAAAGGAACACACTGGAGGCCTGGCAGTAAATTTTTCCACTAGTTCTCTTGGTGCCAAATAAAGATAACAATGTGTCAGTTGTGATTACTACTTTTTCGTAGAGGGCCCACGAACACCTTCAGAAGGTAAGGAGGATGGGCCTGCTCCTGAGAATCTAACTGATTAATTTAAGGTAATTTAAATTTGCATACTATCTGCAATACCATCTTCAGTCATTAGATGGGAGATTTCCTATATCATCATCAAGAAAGGAACACACTGGAGGCCTGGCAGTAAATTTTTCCACTAGTTCTCTTGGTGCCAAATAAAGATAACAATGTGTCAGTTGTGATTACTACTTTTTCGTAGAGGGCCCACGAACACCTTCAGAAGGTAAGGAGGATGGGCCTGCTCCTGAGAATAGAGAGCCAGTAGAGGGAAAGGCTGAACAAGCACCAGATTCAAAAAGACTCATTTGACTGGAAGCAGAGCTGGCAACTGCTAAGTCTACAGCTGCACCCGCAGTCCCTGTGAGCTGCAGAGCAGGTTGAGTAGAGGGGGTGGGTTGACTGGGATTGGTGGAAGGAAACAAAAGCTGGTGAGGCTTGGCCTGTTGACTTCAGACTAGTTGTTTTTCTGCGCTGTTCTGAGGTTTGTGTGAATTTTGGGCCCTTTGACTGTAGGTGTGTGTTGTGACCAAAGTACACAGGCCAGATAGCTGAAAGTATATGACCGCTGAGAGGAAGTGAGTTATCTACTTAATCAGAAGAGGAACTAGCAGCTACAAGGTCTACTGCTGTACTCACAGTCCGTATGAGCAGGAGCGTGTGAGAACAAGGCAAGTGTGTTTTGTGTTTTGCATACAGCCAAATTGGTAAAATTTGGGATGGGTGAGGCTACTTTTAGGTAGATTTGTAGCTGTCTGACAGCCTGTGCTCAAAGACTGCTTATCAATGGTTCCTCATCACCCTGGAGAGAAATGAAGTGCAGTATAGCTGAGCTCTGTTCTGGGCATGGTGTTGTTCAGCATTTTTAATGATGGATGCTCATCAAATCTTCAGAGGACACAAAACTGGGATGTGTACCTAATACTTCAGGAAGATAGAATCATGATTCAAGATAGCCTTGACAAACTGCAGAACTGGGCCAAAACAAACAAAATGAGTTTCAACAGGAAATTACTGTAAAGTTCAACATTTAGGCAGGGAAAAAACAGCTGCACAAATATGGAATGGGTGAGTGCTGGCTTAGCACTCACTTAGCATTTAGTACATGTGAAAATAATTTACAGTATCAGTAGGTCACAAGCTAAATATGAGTCTGCAGTGTGATGGAGGAGCAAAAACAGTGAATATTTCTAAGCTGCATCAACAGACATCGTATCCAGATCAAGGGATGTAGTGCTCCATTCTCTTCTAGCAAGACCTCATCTGGAATACTATGTCCAGCTCTGGGCAACATGGCGTAAGAAGGATAAAGGAGTTGGGCCTGGTTTACTTAATTTTGATTATTCCTATTTGCCATCATTTCAGTTCCTTGGTAACAGTGTTGTATTTCTGTATATATGTGGTCCGTTTTTGTGATTTATTTTATGATTATGTTACTCTGATGTAAACTGCCCAGCATTAACTGGTGCAAGTATTCAAGTGCAATAAATAAATAAACAATAAAAATATAATTTTACTATTTTAAGCCAAGTATGATTTTATCTGTTTTTATTCTTTTGAAAGTGTGTAAGTTGCATTGAGTGCTATCTTTTGATAGAAAGGTAGGATGTAAATGTAATAAATAATGATAAATGTAATAAATAATAATGATGGCAATTTTAACATTGCAATACAAACTGCACCAAAGAACCCTGGGAGCCCCATGAAAAAGAATGACAGAAATATAAGATTTAAATATTTTGAAAATAGCCTGTGTTGGGGACAGATGTTACACTGGTTGTTAGACTTTTATTAGTGGATCTTTAGGGAATGAAACCCTGCAGATGTCACTATACTATCTTCAGCTATAACTCTAATTAACACTCAAAACTCAGACAGCCTAAAACAGATGTTCACAGCTTCAATGTGTATGTCGTTTTCTCATCACTTTTCAATGAATGTCTCATTTGTTTCACTATAATATTGTGTATTACTGAATGAGGATACTTTTTATCTTCCATCTGGCTACCAATGTTTCATTTGTATATAAAATAGATAGTTGTGAAGCTCCAGCAGTCAAGCAAACAGAAATCCTACCACAAGTAAAATATTTACATATATTTTAATCTAACCCACAACATCATATGCATATTGACCTAATTCGAATATGTTTTAAAATTGCTATGCTTTTTCTTGTGATGCACTGGGGAATGCATTTATTGGATTTATGCACATTTTAACTCTCCTTTCTACCAGCATCTGGAAGTGCGTGCTCTGTTGTCTCTGACACTAGAACATAAATTGCTCTTGTAAAGGTTTCCTCTTAATGGGATAATCTGAGTTTTTTTTAGAGAAGTATTAAGCTTTACTAAAAAAAACACATAATTCAATTATTTCTCTTGATAAATTCTCAGAGTGTTCTATATTAAGGTTCTTTCTTAGGAAAACAGTAGTCGATCTCAGAAAAACTATATTCTATCCCAGTAACTCGTATACAGTTCTTCTGTAGGTGCACTGCATTCAACAGTGACCACAAGAAGGGATCCCGTCCACCATCTTGGCTGCTAACACTGGTGTCGTCAATATTCAAGCTTGCCCTTTACTCCGTAAAGCATGACATCCTTTGTTCTGCTGACCACATGGGCACAATACTACAAGGCAATGTTAGAATATTGCCCAGTATTTTGAATTGTGGACATAAGAGCAATATTCCACATTCATACACCAATGTGTGTGTGTTTTTTTAAAAGGACCAAATATCAATTATATCCCATGTACGCATCATCACAGTCAACAAATAACTATGTGTAGAACTGCCTAGTGCATCCTTCTTGGAGGTTTAACACATGCATTAAAAATTACAGATTTAAATCAGGGGTTGGCAACATGTACCTCCCCCCACAACCCCACTCCTAATTGTTTCATTTTGTTTTTTGTTTGTTTTACAAATTGGCTCTGAGAGTCTCCTTGTGTCCTCTAATGGCTTTGGGGTAATTTTGATGCGTTTTAAAAGTGCGTCTGCACCCCATGACCTCTGTCGCTTCCCCCAAACCTTCAGTAAAACTCATTCTGGCTACTAGGGGCAAAATGGGGCTTTACCAGTGACACTCCACTGATGTAAGGGAAAAATGGGGCATAGGGACTGCGGGACCAACTGTCAGCCTCCAAAGACTAAGAATTGTCAATGTGGATGAGTGTGGCTGCCAAATCTTCAGAGGTTGCCACCCCTAACCTAACTGAAAGAGGATGCTTCTATTTATGTTGTGTTATGTGGTGTGGTTGGCAGGATCTGGGTTTCTATCTTAAACATTCTTATTGTTATGACATGTCTGCAGAGTCTTTATTAATTTATTTATTACATTTTTTAAAAAGCATTTTTGAAACTAGAAACCATGGCTGACTCATAGTGATGTAAGAAAGGTCATATTGTGACTCTATGACTGAATTAGGATTTCCAAGTAAGTACAACAAACCTGTATACCACCCTGAGCTCCTTGAGGAAAGGCTCACAAAAATAACAAAACAAAAAAAAACCCTAGAAAAACCATACTGGATATTTAATCTCAAGTAGCATTAGCACAGGATACCTAATATGGTGCAGTGGACAGAATGACAGACTAGGAACAGAGAATACCTAATGTGGTGCAGTGGACAGAATGACAGACTAAGACTCAGGAGGCCTGGGTTCGATTACCTGCTCAGCCACAGAAATTCACTGGGGGTGTGGATCTGGTAAAACTCTCCTTAAATATCTCACTTACCTTCAAAGCCCTACCAGGATTGCTACAAGTCCATTCTGACTTGATGGTACGTAAGCATTAGCAAATATGTCTCTTTCTTTCTAAAAAAAACCCAGCACAGATATTTCTAAAATATACATGTTTGGGTCTAGTTTAAGATTTGAAGCACTGGTTATGTTTCCTACCTGGGAACAGGTGAAAGGGTTTCCAATTTCAGGCAACGAAGATTCCAGTTCTTATATTGCTGGGATTGTATCCATCGCTCACTGATCTTCACCAAATTCTTTGATGAAAAATTAAGAGGAAAGGGAAAAGCAGAATTATACAACACTAGCAATATACAGTTTCAAATACATATTCTATTTTCTTATTGTCAAGAAAAGCTCTGACCTATGAAGGTGAAGATACTGCTTCTGGGAAAGCTTTCTCTAGGAAAAGATACAGTTCCCATGTTTAATCATTATTCTATGGGTTCATTGTGCTCTACCTGTCTTTTGTCACATATACAGCAACCTCTCTGCTGTATGCACACTTAGGTCACAACATAAAAACAAATTATGATGCAATGAGACAACTGATAACCCATAAAATAGAACGGAATACTGCAACAACCTGCACAAATCTAGAAAGCAGTTCTCAAATCTAGAAAGATACCAAGCAGCAAAGGAATTTAGACAGCGCACATTTAATTGGTGTCTCCTGTTCTAACACAACTCGTAATCTCTTTGCCCTGCACCTTTCACTGCATTCACGGCTGTCCCATGTTCTGCATTCTGTATTTAAAGTGCTGCACAGCTATTGTGTGATCTTACCAACCTGCATGCATATTGCCACTGCCAGCTGCCTTACATCCTCCCTCAGAGAATGGTCACCGGGCTTTATAGGATGTTCACTGAAATCATTTTGTCCTGAAAATTAAAGAGAATGGCAAAAATGAATTGGGAAGGGCAGTGGGAACAGAGCTAGGAGAACATAACTGGTATGATTAGTGGAATGTTACTATCTAGCCAATATCCTATTTCGGCAATTGCTTAAGCATCCTTCCTCCTGCTGTGGCAGGTTCCCCGGTGTGTACCTGGTTTTCCACCGGTTGCAAGATCAGAAGCCTACATGAAAAGGGGAGTGTTCATTCTGCAGTTAGGTGGTGTGTACCTGGTTTTCCACCGGCTGCAAGATTAGAAAAGGGGAGTGTTCATTCTGCAGTTAGGCAATAGGATACCAGTCACTGTTTGAGTTGCATCCTGTAACTTATACATGTATTTTAAAAGAACGCACAGATACATATAAGCCCAGACAAGGGGAAGACAGAAAAAAAAAACTACTACAGACAACAAACTTTTTTAAAAAGGCATGAGACAAGCATATTAGATAGATAGAGGAGGAACAAACAGAAAGATTATCAGCGAATAGTAAACAATTCTTATTTATTCATTGGTTGCCAATTTACTTTCATTCATATAACCATGATAAGAATCCACATTATACTGCCAAATTCACATACTGTAAGAGATTCGCAGCTATAAGGATCCAAAGATATATATTTTGAATGTGGAAAATAAAATTTTGGGATAAACAGATGCTTATTAAACAGAAGCCTGTATTCTTTGGGTGAACGTACATGGTTCTCTAGGAGATCCATGTCCCAATGTTCCACCGTCTACCTATTTTTCTCACAATAGGCCCTACATGATTACCTGTCTGCCTATGTGATTTATAGAGTGGCCAGGTGCACGAAGGACTCAACACTCAGAAAAGGCTAAAGCACTCCACCACCATCCCACATCCAAATCCCTACCACCACCACAAGGACTGCATTTAGAAAAATCTAATTTTTATTAGATATGACCACAGATCCCTTACTGCAGTTCAGCATTTTTAGTAATTGTGAGCAACTTCAGATATTTGCATCTCTAAGCAAATTCAAACAGTTTCTGCGGCATCCAACAGTCAAATGTATGTGGGTCACTGTTAGAAATTCTTCAAACAACCAAGGTGCTGAAGTGGCAAATATCAGCTGCCAGGAGAAAAATCAGGAACATTCCTGGGCAAACAAAATGGTCTGATGAGGAAACAACCAATCTGATTTCAGTGAGGGATGAATCCACATGGCAGACCCCACAACAGAGAAGACTCAGAGGAACCCTGTATATCTAGAGAGAATGCTTAACCACCTAGTGAAGTATCCACTGAGTCCCATGGCTGAGTTCTGTAGTAGCAGAAACAAAAGTTTGATCTGTGAAGCTCAGAAGATAATTTGCGACTGTAGTGCTTGAGTTGTTAGCTTTGAATCCAAAGAAGCCCATTAAGGAACAAGCCTAAGCTACTCGGAAGCAACTATCCCAAAATCTCTTCTGACTATATATTGTTTAAATTCTCTTTATAACTCTAGGAGAAACCGCATTGGTAAGGCTACCTAACGTCACATGCTGTCAAGCTGCCTCCAATTTATGGTGACCCTATGAATGAGCCCTCTCCAAAAATGTCCTGTCCTCAATAGCCTTGCTCAGCTCTTGCAAACTTAAGCATGGGGCTTTCTCTAGGGAGTCCATCCATCTCATATTTGGTATGTTTCTTTTCCCACTGCCTTCAACCTTTCCCAGCATTATTGTCTTTTCCAGAGAACCTTGCCTTTTCATGATGTGTCCAAAGCATGACAGCCTCAGTTTGATAATTTTGGCCTTCAAAAACAGAGATAATTTTGTCAGAACTACCTCTGTTGCAATAAGGCTGTTGCAAAGACAGCTGAAAAAAGATCTGTAAACTTTAACAAAAGGATTATAGAAATTACAAGTGATAAAATACCCACACTTCTGTTTTATTTGGTCTGTGCATACCCACGGTCAGAGTCAAAGAAAACTTTAAAACTATACTCTATTAATAAGCACAAGAATTAGAACCCCTACCCAGTGTGTGCAGAGGTTCTCTAAAATGAGCCTTCTCTTCTATTACCTTCTATTACCAAGAAGAATACGAAAAACTGGGTGAAATGAAAAATATGAAAAACTACACAACAGGAATCCATCCTTTTAAAAGTTACACTCATTGCTAGGCACCCATCTGGTTAAGGCCGGGAAAGGACAGGTCTGATCTACCGTTGTCCTTCTCACCCAACCAGCCTCTGCTTGGAGGAAGAAAGAAAAGCTACCTTGGATTAAGCCAACCTGACCTTCCCGCAGTGGCCAACTTGATATTTGTGGAAGCTCACATGCAAGACATGAGCACAGTGCCACCCTTCTGCTCATGTCCCTCCTGTGACTGACATTAAGAGTCAACTATCATGACAGCCATAACAAGCATTATGTGTTCAGTAGAAATGCTTATAGCTGAACAACTGTCACCAGAATGAAAGTTACTCAAAAACAAATGGAGCATTCAGAAGAGGTCATTCATTAAAGACAAACACTTCAGTATTTAAATCCTGCTACAATGGGGTCTTGACTTGAGAACTTAATCCGTATTGGAAGGTGGTTCTCAAGTCAAAAAGTCTGTAAGTCAAGTCTCCATTGACCTACAGTGCATTGAAAACCGATTAATCCCGTAACAGGCCGTTTTTGTTCCATTTTGGGTTTTTTCTGGTCTGTAAGTCAAATCTCAGTCTGCAAGTCAAACCTAAATTTTGCGGCCAGAGAAGTCTGTAACTCAAAAAGTCTGTAAGTCAAGCTGTCTGTAAGTCAAGGGTCCACTGTATAAGAATCAGCCATGGTAGTGAAGTTTTTGAGAAAGGGTAGTGGTAGCGCTCCACACTTTACTCTAGCCATGGCACTTAGTTGCATTTGGCTTTTGAATTTGTTTATCCATTGAGTTTTAACCTCATTCACTCTAGCAGTGATTTAAAATCTTATGAGACCACAGTTCTTACCTTTTTGGTCGCAAACATAATTAAGCCATTAAAAAGGATCATACTTCTAACACTGAACACACAAAATGCGGGTGGGGATTTCAAATATTTTTCATTTGTGTTCACATTTTGCCCTTCAAAGCCAGTGTTCTGGAAAATTTCGATTCAGATTAGGACTTGGAGGGCTTCACTGGAAGTTAAAGCAGTGTGCCATACCTTTAAATTCAGTGCCACTTCAGTGAGGCCATGCTGGGATCTCAGCCAGGACAGAAGAGGAGAAAACAAATTGTATTCTCTTCTAGCCCACCCCAAAATCACTTTGTTTCTTGAAGTTAGATTCTTCTACCCAACTCATCCTACCACACACACACACCCCAAAAAATTGCTATACTTCTTCTGCTTATTTGATTTGGATTTATGGATCACATTTATCAGCCCAGATATAATGTGTGGGTTGATTTTCAAGAGTTCTTTCAAGCAACGTCTGCTAGAGAACTGTTTACCATTCCAATTGGAAACTGGATGAACTGAATTGTTTCCAGAAGAGACAGAAGTAGAAAATTCAAGTAGCTGATTATGCAAACAAAATCTGTTTGAAAGAACCATGTTTGAAATAGTGACAGGTCACATGAAAATGTTATCCCTGATACAGTGGGGTCTTGACTTGAGAACTTAATCCATATTGGAAGGTGGTTCTCAAGTCAAAAAGTCTGTAAGTCAAGCCGTCTGTAAGTCAAGGGTCCACTGTATCACATTCATTCACTCATGCACATGATCATTTAACTTTAGGAAATTAAGAACAAACATGTTTAAATCTGCTAAGAGAGTACTCATTTGTAGGTAACTGCTGCTTGACAAGACAAGCTTCACTGCCATGCAGTGTTATTTATACTACGTTACACTATTATTATTGTTATTATGAACCTGAATCTCCTGGGAATACTTTCAAATCCATCCCAAAACAAATATTTACTTTCAAGAGATTTAACAATATTCCACTTAAATGCTAGCCCATATCCCAGTTCGGGAACAGACAGTAAAGGACAGTTACTAAAATGCATTTGGGTGTATCATTAGCCAACTATAATGGCCGGTCAGAAATGACAACAGCAGACCCTGGGCAACATTAGAATAATTTTTATTGAGCCCAGATAAGACTGAATTGGACTCACTTTCAGGTTTCACATTCTCCTCCTTCAAAATTAAAAGTATGAACTTCCATATTTACTCCCCTTTATCTTATATTTCCTTTATGTCACTGAGAAATCAATTGAATGTCAAAGCTTAACTGGTTTATGGTGAAATAAGAAAAATCCAATGAAGCTGCATCTGTGTATGCATTTACTCAGAGGTGAGACCCAATGTCCCTTGAGACATCCAGCTGAGTAGGCATCGGCTGTCTCTTTAAGGGAACAATTTTCTGTCCATGTGCTAAAAATAATTCCTGTTAACAGTTTACAAAATCTGCTCATCAGGACAAAGAGAATTTGGCTGTTCTATATTATTGCAGTTACATATTGGTACATAAATCCCACATCAAATAAAACAAGATTAGCCAACCAAAGGAAGTGACACTTTTGGTCAATGGCCTGGTGACTCCAAGCAGCATTTTCAGTATTTGGCCATAGAGATGTAAAGGAAAAAGGACACCATCAAAGCATGAGATAGCAGCAGATAACTTGCTTGGAATGTCAAACAGATAAGAATTTAATATACATCAACATTTTTCTTTAAAAAGTTGGAAGGAAGCAGACTGGCTGGAAGCAATAGGCATATCACTAAATATCATGCAGTTAAGCTAAGTGCATTCTTAGAAAAGTATGTGTTTAATACAGATGCACATATTTAATATAATACTTTCCCTTAGGAAACAATAAACATACATACAATAATAATAACAAAGGAGAGTGTTTCTATTGTTCTTCCCTGGTTTTTCCAAGGAACAGGCTATTACAAAAACATATGTAAGAAGGCAGATAGATATTGTGCAGGCAGTAAACAAAACAGCTGTCTCTTATTACAGTTTTTTGAACCTTTTGTAAAAACCTACATCAGTGATGGCTAACCTTTTTCAGCCCGAGTGCCCAAACGGCGACACAAAACCTAATTATTTCTTTCGAAGTGCCAACAATGCAATTAAATCTGAATATTGATGTTTTAGTTTAGAAAAAAACCACTCATACAGTTGTCTGAATTATTCATCACCTTTTGTCTTCAAAACATAACAGAACATTCAATGATACAAACACTTTTTTATTGAAAAATAACCATTAACTCTAGTAAATGGAAACAAATATTAAAGTAATACAAGACAGGTAATTTATAGAAATTTTAAAAATAATTAGATGCATCTATTTTTGAGAAGGGATACTCAACTTGGCATGCTTTTGCATAACGTGATTTTTTCATGTTGTATGCATGCTGATAATTTGTCAAACCTTGGCCCATATGCTGTTAGTTTGAG